CCTAATTTTCTGCAAACTTATTTTATAACCTAGGTAATTGACAGAATCTCCTCCTTGTATTTTTTTCAGGAGCAATTTGGAATCCCCATTTTTGCAAAACTTTATTTTCTTCTTTAAACATTCTTTCTAAAGCATCCATGTTTGAATCAGATCACAAAATGTCATCCATGCAATGGTAAACTATTGACTTAGGAAATTGTTAATGTATTATTTCCAATGGTTGATTTACAAAGTATTGTCACAGAGTGGGGCTATTGAGCATTCCTTGTGGGAGGATAGTCCATTGGTGTCTCCTAGTAGGCTGAGAAATATTATATCTAGGCACTGTGAAGGCAAATTTTTCTCTATACTTTTCCTGTAAAGGTATAGTGAAGAAACAATATTTCAAATCAATAACTATAAAAGGCCAATCTTTTGGTAATAGAGAAGGCAGAGGATTTTGAGATTGTAGAGGGCCCATAGGTTGAATTACCTTATTGACAGCTCTTAGACCTGTCACCATTCTCCAGTTACCAGATTTCTTTTTTACAACAAATACAGAAGAATTCCAAGGGCTGATTTTTTCTTCAATATGGGGAGCATCTAGTTGCTCTTTTACCAGTTGTTCCAAAGCCTGCAATTTATCTTCAGCTAGAGGCCACTGCTTTACCTATGTATTCTCCTCAGTTAACAATTTTAAAGGTAAGGCTGTTGGTACCTCTAAATTTTTGCTAGTTGCTTTATGTTCTTGTACAGTGTGAATGGTTGGTGACCTTTGTGCATAGTACCTTATAATATCCTTCTCAGAATTATGAGTTCCTGGAACCGAAGGAATGTTAATCTGGGTATTCAATTGTTGCAGCAAGTCATGGCCCCATAAATTTACTGCAATGTTAGCTACATATGGCCTCAGCTTCCCTCTTTGACCTTCTGGCCCAATACAGTCAACATATCTCGTGCTTTGTTTAACTTGTGATATGGCTCCAGTTCCCGTAATTGAACATCTGTTTCTTGAAGAAGCCAAGTTGGATATAAAGATTCTGAAGTAATGATACTCACATCCGCACCTGTGCCTATCTAACCAATAATTACAATGCCATTTATATACACTCTTTGCTTTGGTCTTTGATCATTTATAGAAGTCTGCCAGAACGTGTGCTTCCTATTTCGTATTGGAATTTTTGACTTATCCTCCATGTTTATGCCATTATCTAGAACAGTTTCTACTTTTGCAGAAGATTCTGGACATTTTAATTTTCTTGGTGAGACATGTCCTTCACAGTTACTGGGAATGACTTGGTCACTTTTGTCTTGGGGGCCTACAAGAGGCCCAGATGGAGTTTTCTGATGGTATCAGGTTGCCTTGATTTAAAAATGCTTTGTTGCATAGGGACAAGATTTGTTCAATGTAAAGAGCTTGAACCTGTGGGTTAGCATAAGGGCCTTCAACAAGAATTTGATCTTGAGAAATCTCAAAGCCTTTTGCTTTTCCCTGTTGTTCTAAATTTTTTTGCCTCTTCTTTGAAATAAATTTTAAACATTAATTGAGGCCCATCATCCAGGACTGCTGAAACTAACTGAATTCAATCATATGGTGTTGCTTTAATGCTAGAAGACCATGTCTTTTTCTTCTCCCTAACAAATGCAGAATGCAAAACATAATTTACAACAGCTTGCTTAATTTATTTTAGATCATTCATTTCTATAGTTATCCATTTGCCTTATTTGGATGTTTTTAGGTCTTTACAACTTGGTGCTTTGTCAGAGTATATTACAGGGTAGGGAGCTAAAATCCTGGGTAAGTTACCTCTGACAGCTACTGGCAGTGTTGAATCCTGTCCTTATGTGTTCTATCCCTGTTCATCAGCTCCAATAACTTCCCCAATCTTTTAAAATATTTTTATTACTGTCTTTTATAAAGCTGAATCTCCTGGCCTGTATATATATCTAGGGATTTCATTGAGGTACCTAGCCTCTGATCCTCATTCTGCACATGTGATTCCAAGGTCTGAAGTTTCTCCTTTAACGACAACATCTCACCCTTGGACATTACTTTAATAGCATGCATACTGCCATCCTGGAGAGATACTCTATCTGCTAACTTATCATAACTTTTTAACTAATTTTGATTGTCAAAGACAACATTATGAATTATTCAGATAACTTCTTAATACCCTTAGATATGGATTCAATTTTTTTCTGTCACACTAATATTGTCCTTTTTAATAGTATTAATTTTTCATGTAACATTTGATTTTCAATGGTATTAGTCCTGTCAACTAGCTGCTCATTATTAATCTGTAAAGACTGTATCATTTCTAAAAGTTCCATATTCTTTCTTAATGATAAAATATGGAGAAGAAAACTGAGTCCCAATACCCAATAAACTGAAGTATCATCATAACCATTTAAACCTTGCATTATACAATCCATAGGATTAGCAAAAGAGTTACTAAAAGTTTCAATATTAATGTAGTCTGCAATATTGATTTATTAATTACATGTTTTGTGATCTGGTAAACTTCTCTGTGGTCCTGCTTGTTTAATTTTCACAGAATTCCATGAAGCAGTCCAGGCAAGAACAGTTCTTGCCCAAATGGTTAGCAAACTCTATAAGGAGCCTCTTCGATACCCATCATCTTCTTGAAGTAATTGGGAGCAGACATGTCTCATTGTCATAAGTCCTAAATTCTTAAACCTTTTTAAAGTCCATTTTTTGTAGCTCTGTTTAAATGGAGCTATTATACAAGTGGGCTGCATTTGTGTATGAGGAAAAGAAAACTTATTAATGGTCACTGATGCTGTTTTAAAGAGAAACTTGTAAGAAATGCAAAATTTCGAAGATTTTAAATTTAGCTCCAAAATAAATGAATAAATAACTAGATGAATAAATAAACAGCTTTGCATAGTTATGGTGCACACTTTTACTTAATTCTTTGTATACTTATTGTAGTCTATGATTCAAGGGTGCAAAACTTGAAAGGTTCTGTGAATGGTGTCATCCACCTAAAAATGGTAAGAATCATTTTTCAAGAGGCACATGTCTGTTTTATCCAGCACCACTATCTGTGTATCCCAACGGGGTTCTGAGTAGTCCCAGCTGAAATGACCACTCCCATGGTGTGCAGTATATACAACCATGTACAGTGGTCAAGATGAGGTGCTTTGTGGGTCCAATTCCTCCTGAAAGATGTTCTATTGCATCATAAATCATTCTCCTGGGGATCATTTTGTCTTTTGGCTGTCCAGTAACCACAATCGTTTTTTCTTCAAGTTCAACATTCCTAAGACCTAAGGATAATGTAATTTCTTGAGGTCTGTTGCTTCAATAGTCTGATACCCCAGGAAGGACAAAAGCATCTTTGTAGAATATCTTAATTTCTTCGAGGCCTATAATAATAGCTCATTGTTTCTTATGTTGTGTGATCAAGTTAATTCTTCATCATAACAAAAAGCTTTGAAAATTAAACACACATAAACTCAGGCAAGAGTTTAGCTCCGGGAAAGACTGGTCCATGCCTGCCCCCACAAACAGAACATAAATTATAGTAGGTGGTGGATGCTGAGTCATCTTAAGTTGGCATTTTCAGGGGAGCATATGCAGTGAAGTTTTCTATTTTATGGGTAATTAAAATTTTTTACATATTTTTGAACCTTCTATATCTTAGTTGGAAACTCTAGGAAAATGGGGTCCTGAGAAAAGCAGGCCTCTCTCCTAGAAGGGCTCACCCTGGAGAAGGAAGGGCAAGTGTTATAAGGAGAGGACAAATAAAAGTCCCTGCCTGCCAGTTGCCAGGCTCTGCTGCTGGGCTCAGCCAGCTCTTATTCTGAAGAGAGTTCTTACTCCCTTGTCCTCTAAAATGAAACTCTTGGCTGCTCTCTGTGCTGTGTGTTCTTCACTTTGGAATGCAGAATAAACAAGACTGAAGCTAGAGTTGAGACCAGGGGGACTGGAGACCTGCTGCAGGACATCTGGTGCTCAATACAGGTTCACTTTCTTTAGCTAAAGGGCACAGAGATGCATTCTCCTCCTCCCAACACCCTTGGCAAAGACTCTGCCTTGGCTTGGCACCTGTATCTTTTCACTTCTTTCCTAGCTCCCAAGAGTACTGAAAAATTTTCCTCTTGTTGCTTTTTCTGCTTTAAGAATTATTTAGCTTAAATGGCTCTTCTCCCCTCCCCCAACCCTGTCACTGCTTGTACCCCTGGTTTAAGTGCCATTGACATCCAACCTGTTGGTTTCATTCTTTTCTTTGACCCAAAAGAGCTGAAAGGGCATCTGTGTCTGGGTTGTTGCTTTTGTGACCTTTATCGAAAACTTGGAATGGTCAAGAACCTTGTCTTGCACAGTATCCCACGGTATTGCTGAGATGAAACCCTTTTGCTTGCTCTAATATTGCCTGGAAAGACACTGGAGTCCCGTGAGCTGATTATTCTGATGTGGCACTTGGTTGTCTGGGAAAATTGCAAGACTTTAAGGATGAGTTTAGAGGATCCTTGTTCTGAGGGCTACAGAACAGGATGTCTTTTTAACCAAGCAACCTTCTTTTCTTATGAAACCCTAGTATAGCCTTGGAGAACATCAAGACTGTTGACAGGGAGTGACCTTAAATCACCCTCATCCCTTTTATGGGGATCCTTGCCCCTATTGCTTGAATTCTTTGATTGTCTTTAAAAATATTTTTTAAATTGTTATTTTATTGTTATTATTGTTAAAATGTGGGACCCTCACCCCTTAGTCACAATGGGGCAAATTTCCTAGCAGAATGTGTTCCCAGCAAGATAGTGGCCTTCTCCTCTCCCACCCAGGAGATTCGGAGCACAAGGTCACTTAGCTCAGCCCATCCAGCCACCTGCTACAGGCTGATAATGATGGCCTAACTCAAGAACAGTGGCCTTGCTCTAAAAGCAAGGAAAAAGCTGACTTAACAGAATGGGAAGGAGCAAAAGTCCTTGTACCCGTGCCAAAGCATCTTCAAAAATTCTCTTTGTAGTTATGCCTTTAAAAGCTTATCCCACAGAGGAGATACAACTCCTCTGTACCTTTTTGTGGTAACGGGGATGGAGATGAGTTCCAAACATGTTTGTATTATGTATATGTCATGGCATTCATTGAGAGGTATAAATATAGCTCTACAAATTGGTTTTCTGCTCCCACCTTTATGTAAGTTCTGCAAGTCAATCTCATGTCTTCAGACTTGCACAGAAAGTGCCTTTACAGGCCAAGCCACCTCATAGATTCAAGGAAACTGTTTATTTTTTCTTTTTTGTATTGACATACAAAAGTGTTTTCTTTGTATTTTGTATTTTGAGTTGAGGCCAGGACCCCGTACATATGAAGCATGCACTATGCCACTGAGTCATGCTCCCAGCTTGTGTGCATTCTTCAAAAAGCCTATATGAAATCCTTACCCCTAAACAAAGCAGGGACTTTCTCTGACTCTGTTGTTTGGTGACTGGCTCCAGCTATGTTTTCAGGAAATCAGCAAGCTTAAACACCAGTTTTAATTGAAAAGGGGCCACAATTATCTGGGAGAAACTCCTAGCTTAGAGATAGAGCTTAGGATCGAACTGGGCTAGTGTGTGTCTGGAAAAAATGACCCAGAGTTTGGTCATTGTTCAATCTCTAGATGAAAATTCCCTGGTCATATCTAAAGAAAAGCATGCCTACCCCCTGCAGACTAGACTATTAAGAAACACATGACTGCCCCCTGGAGACTAGATGATGCATAGGCTATGAGGGGCATCTCATCTGAATTGCTGCTTACCTTTCTGATTCATGTTCCCTCTGTTAGGGAATCAGGATCATCTCCTTCTCATCAGATGTCCCCCTGGACTGCATCCTAAAGAAGTGGGACACATTTATCCCAGACACTCTCAAAAGGAGGCCACTTGTTTTCTTTTGCATTAATGCCTGGCTCTCCTAAGAACTGGGGGTGGAAAGTCTTGATCTCTGAATGGGAGCCTAAATCCAGAATCAATGCTACAGTTATTGGCATGCTCTTTAGGGACGGCAAATTCAATGAGATCCCTTATGTTTAAGCGTTTTATGTTAATTACATCACTGTCCTGCTTGATCTACTTTGCAGATGAAAAAGAAAAAAGGGGAAAGTCTCCTTTGTCCACATGTGTGCAGTTAAAGGATAACTCCGACTTCTGCAACAACTGCAAATTAGATCACAATTCCAAGCTTTTATTCATATGAGCTAGTTTGCTTTAGCACTAGCAGACTTGATATTGATTCAAAAATTCTGTGGGGAATGGAATTTAGTAAAATCTGATCTTGTTGCAGTATGAAGATCATTAAAGCATTTGAAATTTTAAAAAGACAGTTGGTAGGCCTTCAACATCTAGTCTCTTCTCAGGCAGTTTTTCCTTATTTTGGAGTGAGAGAGGTGGTTTTCTATTGATTGTCACTGCCCATTTCCAATGTCAGAGGAAAGATTTTGTGAGTTAGAACTAAGGTAAGGGTCCTGGGTACAGCCTGCTCTCACTTAAGGCAAGTCTCCTGTGCAGTAGGCACTAGTGGTTTCTCTTTCCTCCATTGGTCATTTATGAAAAAGAAACCATTTGCAATCTTTCCTAGTCCTTTATTGGAACAGACACATTTTGTGTCTCTAACAACAACTGCAAGGGTAGAATACTCACAGTTTTGGCTCTGTGTGTTTTCTTTCATGCTTTTTCTTGTTCGATAATTCACTGAGGTCATTGGAAGTTGCTATCATCCTTGTCAGAATCCACCATTCTGAAACACTCAGAATCATATGAGACCAAGTATAATTATGAAAAAGAAAAATTCTAAATTATCTAAGCAGAGATTAAGTCTGCCTACGAGTTAGCACAAACAAGAATCTTACAGTTTAAGAACATATGGGCCAGTACTATGGGTTATCTTAAGCTATGAAAATAATTTCGATTCAGTTCTTTTTGAGCAAGTTGATATTTTTGTTTATGTTACTGTTTCAAGGTAAGGAAGGGAATTAGACAGAAATGACTCTGTAATTAGGAAGGAGAGACTATAAAGTAGGATGCAAGTTACAAAGATTTGGGGAGGAAAGATTTACAGAAGGCATATACTTATTATAAGTAAAGGTTATTAAAATTTCTAAGGCCAGAATTCAGTGCACTGATATAAAGCCTGGGGTTAGCTCAGTGTAAAAGTATCTGATTTATATCATTCATAAAGGCTGGATTAGGAAAAAATTTATGTTTAACCAAGATAATTATATTTTCTGAATTATTTGTTACAGATCTTTTCTCATCTAAACTTTGCCTGCCACAGAAAGGTTAGCACTAAGAAAGAAAATCATCTGTCACTTCACATCTGAACTCTAAGGCTGTACATATTCTACACGTATAGTCAAAGAAAATAAAGTGTTCTTTGTGCTTCTATGTTAAGCTGTATGGTCTGCAAGAAACTTTCCCATTCCTTCAGATGGCACACTTGGTAGATGAAAATATACACAATTAAAAGTCCCTAGAAGATTCACTGACTCTTTAAGGAGCTTAATTATTTGACCTCCCATATGGTCTTAAATGCTCCACAGTACAAAAAGCAACAATAATAACTTCTGCTCCAACTAAGATTCTTATTTGATCTCATTGAGCCTGGGAATCCCTGTGCTCCTAAACACACGTAAAGACAAATAAAAACCAGATGACTGGTTTTAGCTAGTATAAAAGAACAGTGTTCAAAAGGCTGTCAAAATGCATGGAATTAATAACTGGATCCACAGCTCAGGATAATTTTTCAGTCTTATTTTTCAGAAAGACTCAGAATTAGAAGGGGAGGACCACACTGAAGCAATAAACAATTACCCCATGTGCTTTCTCATCTAAGGACACCAAGGTTCAGATAAGCAAATCTATGGACTATGTCCCACAGCTCCTGCTGCTGAAATTATTCTTATGGAAGGTGTCTTAATGACACATTCACTCTCACCTCTGGCCTCCTCAGATAAATCCTATCTTGACTCCCATAAAAGCATTTCCAAAGGTTTTTCTAACATTGTTTAAACAGGTATGGCCTTAGTTAACCTCTCACTAAGATACTAAACATTATTCTCCATGCTCCTCCTTTAATGTTCAATAAAATTTGTTTGTTCCATGAACCAACAGATTATTTTTCAAATAGATGTGCAAAAGGTAGTGCTGCACCTCTTCTGGACCAGATCCAGACACATCACCGCTTGCTTGCACTAAATGACCTAAGTCTTCTTTAGAATTTTCAAATAAAAAAAATTGCATGTTTCTTGTACCAACAGTCTCCCACAACATTCACGGTTTGATTTTTGTCTTGTGCCTCTGGTTCTTATTCACTTAGCATCTTTGTAAAACTGATATCTTCAAGTCTATACACCCCAAAACTTTAACTGACAGTGACAATGTAATGCTAAGCTTTGACCCCTATAATTACTTTAAAAAATATGGATTTTTATTGAGTTCTACATTTTTTTATACTCTCCCCCTGCATGTCCCCTCCACTTTAACCATCTCTGGCTCCAATCTACTCCCTTGGAGGTCCCAGACTCAGGTGCACCCAGACCGGCAAAAGACCTGGCTCAGGCTTACTTCCTCAGAGGTCCCAGACTCACGCCTGACCTGAAGAAATGTTTGGCTTCTACCTACTTCCTCGGAGGTCCCAGACTCACACCCAGACCCACAGAGGTCCTGGCTCAGGCCTAATTTTTTGGAGGTCCTTGACTCATACCCAGACCCACAAGGGTCCTGGCTCAGGTCTACTCCCTCAAAGGTTTCAGATTCAAGCCCTCACATGCAGCAGTCTCTGACTCTGGCCCACTCACTCAGTGGTTACTCACGTGTACCTACCTGCTCCTGTGTAGTTTGCTGTCTCAAGGCTGCTCTGGCCCAGGCTGCTGGCTCAGTCCTGCCTCTACAAATGTCCCTGGTTTGAATCCCCTTTGTCTATTTTTATATGATATGATGGTATATCATATGTTTAATGATTTGAAATATAGATTCTGCATATGAGAGGAAATAAACAAATATTTATTTTCCCGAGTCTGTCTTATGTGCTTAATATGGCAATCTCAGTTTCATCTATTTCCCTGAAGGTGACATACTTTATTTCTTCTTTATGGCCCAATAAAACTCCACTGTGTATATGTACCGTTTTTCTCCTCAGTTCATCAAGCAATCTACATAGATTGGATGCACTAGTATTTCTGTGGAATGGTGACTCAAGGCTATTTCAGTATACAAGCACCATTATTTCTTGATTTATCAGTGAATGTGTTATGGTATCTTGGAGACATGTTGTCTTTTATTGTTCTTAGGGGGGTTTTGTTGTTGTTTTTCTATGTGTTGATATGTAGATTTGTTAGTTTGGGTATTTTATTTATTAGTACATCTTTTTAGTGACAGTATACCTTGAAGACTCAATTCCTTATTTGTAACTTGATATTTCTCTCCCACCCACAAGTTCCAGTTTGGTCTATTAGCTTAGAAAGCAAGATATATAAATAATTGATCAACAAGAATGTTTAAGAAAAATTGATAAACTTAAGAAGAACCAAAATAAAAACACAAGTTTTTTAATGAAGTAAATTTAAATACTTCTAACATATAGCAATAAGAGAAATGTAGGAACTTTTTAGGAAAGAAAAGATAACGCATTTACAAGCGTCTTTATGGGGCTTCTAAATTTATATTTAGCTAGGGGGAGGGGTAGAGTGACTTGAAGTTGGAAACTCTTACCTTTCTAATGGGAGCAAGCAGAGTCCAACTCTACTGACTGACTGCTAAGGTTCAGGTCTGTTATCTCAGGATAGAGAAAACTTGGAAAAATTCTAATCTAAGAATCATGGAACAAGTTTACACATGTGTTGTTCAAATTATGTTCTTTATTTTCCTTTCTTTTGCTGCAAGGTTTCCAGTTTATATAAACATACACAAACAAAGGTAATTCTCTGGAAATCACAAGAAGCAGAGTTTGAGTTTCTCAAGGTCCAAAAACAGATAAGGGCTGTCCTGAGTGACACTATCAGTATCCTTATGGCTCTGGAGAAGCGTGTCTAGAAGAAAATCTAGGCAACACCTGGTTTAGGAAGCTTTAAAGTCTAAGAGGGAAACGGGGAGTTGGTGCACGAAACTAAATTTTTAGGTGTGCTTTAATAAACTAGGAGTAAGTGTAGAGTATTAACAGCTATTTTTAGGGTAGAGTTGTGGGTCAACTAGGTTAGCACTTTCCCAAGTTGGCTGTGGCAGAATTTAGGGCACTCAATCTCAAACGAGCTTGGACATCCCTTTATCTTTGAAGTTCCAAAATGTGATCTATTTGAAAAACTCCTCTCCTAACTGAATGTTCTGTCAAATAAAGATAATTGTAAGGCATTGATCTTTAAGCCTTATCTCAGGGAATGGAGCAGAAACTTGAATGTGGGAATCAAAGTTTTTGATTGTGTGACTAAATTTTCTCATGGGAGGTCCCACAGATTGGGGGGAATTGGGGGGGAGTCACCCAAATAAGCAAAAGAGGAAGGCATGTTTTTCAGTGTCCACAGTCCTTGTGGGACAAATAGGATGAGTTATGAAGCATGTTCCAGTATGCATTATGCATATCAAAACTCCATAGATAAATGAAAATCATCTACCTGACCACTCACAGATATATGTGCCCATAAGATTACGATGCGACCATGAGATTGCATATACACATTACATGAGAGTACACACTACAGCGCAGGTATTGTGGAGACACCAAGCTGCTTTAGCCAAAGTGAGCCAACGACTTTCAGAGTCAATGTTCTTGCAGACCTTTCCTGGACAGGATTAACCTCCATCGGATAACCATTCCTCGGGTGGGTTTACATCTGAATACTAGTATTCACCTGCTATAACTCCCATGCCCCTGACACCTTTCCTACCAGTTAGACTTTGTAGTTCAGCCAGCTAAGAGCAACATGCCCACAGGTGCTTGTCCACTTCTTTTCTTTGTGGACCAGGAGTGACCTATACTAGCTACACCTAATATTGCAACAGAGGGGCCTGGCAGCTTCTTTCCCATTCTCAGGACTCCTTAGCTTGTACACTTCAGGAATGACTAATATTCTAGGTAGGAGTTTCTCCCATTTGCAATGGGGTTGAGGGAAGTCAACACTGCACCAACATCTGTATTTAGAGAGTACTGTCAAATTTCAAAGCACACTCAGTCATAGACACGCTGCAGGAGGGATGAGGTGAAGAAGTCAAATGCTTGGATGGTGCTTCATAGTTCTCAGTCCCATTAATAGTGCACCTCAGCTGACATAGGTGGCTCCAGAGGCTGGCCACCTGGTGATGTAAGGTTGGGTTTATAACACACATAGGTAAGGTGATGTGGTTAGCTCCTAGCTACTGAGAATGAGGTTTATTT